TTTGGACATGGCTTTATAGCAAGTGGGAAAATGCACCTGTTTAGAAAAGCATAATGATCTACTTAGTAAATATATTCTAAGATGAATGTTGTGCAAACAGATGAAAACATAGCTATTATTCCTATTAAACAGCTACATTCTGGTTCTGTTTCAAAGCTTTTGAACTTCATGATTGTTACATTTAATGTTTTGAAACCCTTTTTGGCATTTGCCTGTGCTAAGAGTTGCACAAAGATAGAACATGTTTCAGCAGCAGAGGTAAAAATGCAACTTCAAGTTTTCTGGACCATATCAGACTATGAATCCTACTGCAACTCTGCAAGCTGATGGTTGACTGGGCAGGAGAGTTAGGTTTGCATTTCAAAGCCTATTTTGTGACTTTGTTCAGAGAATTTAATTATCCTCTTTGTAATTTGAAGACATTGTATTTACTGAATTTGAGATGGATCACATATACACAGCATTACAGAGCTCATAATTATTCAGGGAGTATGTTAGTAGCAATAGGAAAGGTGAAATAGGAAATATGCTCAAGTAAATCATCAAGCTTTCTCTTAAAGATAGAATTGATCCAATTTCCCCTACAATTCTTCTACTGTGTCAATTAAATTCATACAGGAACCCACGATTCCTGGATGGAAAAATAGGAAAAAACTAAGAAAATTCATAGAAATATGTAGATTTCTGAGAAAGCACATTCTTTCTGATCTCTGGTTTTCTGTTTTGCCTGTGTTTGTTTATTTGTGAAATTCATAAGATAATCACACCATACAAAAGGTATTTTTATTACTAGTTCTATTTACAGTAATTATCTAGGCACATCTGTTCTCAAGTGCATCAATGTTCAATATTTAAACTAGCTTAATATTAAAAATAAAACTCTAAGGATCCTAATTAAGCATCTGTGTATTTAATACCCTGCTTTTGTTTCTTACTACATTTTGTTAGCTCTAGTGTTTCAACACAGAGGTAGGAGTACCATCTACTTTCAGAGTGATTCAGAATGCAGATCGCATTAACAAGAGTAAATCTGATCTGCTTCTGGGAAACAACAAACATTCTAAAAGCACGTTCTGGGAGAGATTAATGGCTCCCAGGAAAGGAGATGAGAAAAAGGGTTTGTGCTGTCGGGCTCTGGCCTTTGCTGGGAGGCTGGTCATAGGCTGTGATTTCCCACTGACTTGCTGCTGAGCTCTTTGGGCTGGAAGTCAGCTTAAAGAAGACAGAAGTTCTCCATCAACCTGCACCTCAGGAAGTTTTCCATCATCCCCATATCACCATTGGCCAATCAGAGCTCAAATCAGTCCAGCAGTTTAATTCCCTGGGCAGCCTCATCTCCTCGGATGGTGAGATTGACGGGGAGATAGACAACAGGTTAGTGAAGGCATATAGTGCTTTTGGAAAGCTTCATAAAAGAGTTTGGTGAAATAAACACCTGAAGAAAAGTACCAAGATCAGTGTTTCCAGAGCCATTGTGCTGTCTACTCTCTTATACGGATCTGAATCATGGGTCATCTACTGCCACCACCTGCGACTCCCAGAACGCCCCATCAACGCTGCCTCCGTACAATCCTAAACATCCACTGGGCAGATTATGTGACCAATACATCTGTTCTGGAACAGGCAGCAATCACAAGTATTGAGGCCATGCTACTGAGAACACAGCTGCGATGGGCAGGACACATCTCAAGGATGAAGGACCAACCACCACCTCCCTAAGATCTTGCTCTATGATGAACTTGCCACCGGCTGCCACAAGAGAGGAGCTCCGAAGAAAAGATACAAGGACTCCCTGAGACAACACTTCAGCCTTGGCCATATTGATCATCATCACTGATCTACTCTGGCCTCCAATGGGGAGGTCTGGAGACAGACCATCTATAACGCTGCTGTTGCCTTTGAGAATGCATGCAGGATCACTCTTGAGGAGAAAACACAACGCAGAAAGAATCGAGCCTTGCAGAATTTACCACCTAAGGAGTCTTTCTGCTGTGCCTTTTGCAATCGGACATGCCTGTCTTGTATTGGCCTTTTCAGCCACCAGTGCCCTTGTAATAAACGTGGGTAGAGCCCTCCCCAAGTCTTCGTTTGCGAAGCCTGCCCATGATTTGTGATTCGATCTGGTATTGCTACCAGCTCTCCTCAGGAAAGGGGAAGCATTAGCTGCACTTTGGAAGGCAGGTTGTTAGGAAAAGCCTCCCAGAAGCAGAGCAGGGCACAATTGTATGGTCAGGCTCCAGGTTTATCTGCAAAGAATAAAGCAACAGCTGGGTACAATCTCTCACCATAAACTCGCATTTGTGATTTGCTGCTCTTTCCAATATAAAATACAAATAGCTCAGCAGAGGTGTGCACCTCACTTGAGGCTGTAGAGACCTGATTTAGGGTATGGAATGTGGACATACAGCTAAAACAAAGCAGGCAGAATATGCTGTAGGCCCAAAGCAAACTTTGACCCAGAGATAACATGTAATGCATGTAAACCTTGTAAATGGCTTCATCTGCAGTCAGTGGCAGCATTCCAAGTGACTAACGGAAAGAGAATCAAACCTTTCCTAGGAGCATCCTGTAACACAGCTTTTTCACAGCTGGGAGAAAAACAATGAATGCTTACATGGGGATGAGCTTAGATCCCATTGCTTTAGCATGGGATTTCTATCATTAACATTTAGATCTGTTACTACACTTACCTACACAAACAAGCATGGGAGTTTCTATCATGTTTGTGAGCAGAAATTATACCTTTGCTTTTTTTTTTGACAAGCCCAACAAAAGTTTAAGCTGTAAATAAATGATAATTTCTGCATATCAGTAAAAAACCACAATGTAAACTGTAATCAAACCCAATAAAAAAACCATTTCTGTAAAAAGTAAATTTTTCTATTTTATAAGTTATGAATCAATACCACACATGAGAAATAGTCTGACTTCTCTCTAGGATTTCCTAAAGGATTTTTCTTGTGGCTTTCTGTCCTTAACAATTATTTTAGTATTTGCAAGAAGCCCACAATCTGTTCCTTTTAAAATATCAGCTTACCTTGCAAGATAGTAAAGTAGAACAAAAAAATTAATGCTGATCAGGGCGCAATCGAACTTTCAACAAACTTGCTTCACATCATTTGACATTGTCAACCTTCTGTTCCAGTTCTTTCTGACCAAGAAAATGAACCTTGAAACTAAGCCTACTGAATATATTAATTCCTAACTGCCTTACAAAGGTAGTTGTAGAGATTCTCATGGAAGGCCTATTTTAGCCAAGAGATTGTGCAGAAAAGGTTAGACTGGAATTGATTTCAAAGTGAGGAATGTGTGATGTAAGAATGTAATAGTACAAATAAATTAATTAACTGATAAAACAGAAGAAAACTCAAGCATTAGCAACCAGAAGAAGTCAATAAAAGCGTACAGCTGGTTCCACAGCAAACATAATTCAGCCTAAATCAAATGCCGTCACAGTGACTTCCATGCTTGTGAATCAGGCTCCTAACCGTGATAAACACAGAGGATACTACATAATCTATTGAGATAATTGACTAAATTTCAGTTAGGCTTTTATTATTTATTCTTAAGATTTTTATGCTTTTTTTTTTTGATAAATTTTTTAAAAATTTTATTTGACAAATGTTTGTCTATTTTTTTAATCGTTAATGCCTTTATCTGATTAGGTCACGTGCCTTGTGCGAGGATGCAAAGTGTGTCAGGAGAAGCCCGAAATGGCTCTTTCAGAGTGGCAAACAGCGGGTTGTGCAAACGGGAGGACGACACTTGGCCGCGGGTCCAAATGGGAGGAGGAACAGCACGGTCCGGCCCGGCCTGTGTGTCTGACGGCCGCCGGGGCCGGGCAGGGTCCGGGCTGAGCGCAGGGACCCGCCGGCAGCTCCACCCGCCGCGCTCGGGGCGGCTCCGGCGCCTCAGGGCCGAGCGCGCTCGGGGCGCCCGCGGGGCTCCTCGGCCGGGGAGCGCCCGGCCCGCGGCAGCGCTCCGCGGAGCTCCCCAGGCGCTTCCCCGG